TAAATCTATATAGCATCAAGTTACATGCACCAGGTGGTGTGAGTTGTAGCAGTACCTGCAACTGAAAGTTGCACCCAGTAAATTTGCAGATCAGAAGGATATAGGGGCAGCACAGTGGCTAAATGGTTAGCACGTCCGCCAGGCAGTACTAGGGTTGTTGGTTTGAATCCCAGCCATGGCACCACCTGCCTGGAGTTTGCATGTTCTCCATGTGCCTGCATGGGTTTCCTCCGGGTACTCCATTTTCCTCCCACATGCCAAAGACATGCTGGTAGGTTAACTGGATCCTGTCTAAATTGGCCCTAATATGTGTACGTATGAATGTAAGTTAGGGACCTTAGATTGTACGCCCCTTGAGGGTTAGGGACTGATGTGAATGTACAATATATATATGTAACGCGCTGCGTAAATTGACGGCGCTATATAAGTACCTGAAATAAATAAATTAATAATAAATATATGTTAGCTGAAACTGCAATGTATGCAATGGTGAGTTAGCGCCTTGTTTTTCTTTTTAGAATTTTAAATTACATAATACTATGGTGGAGTAGCCACACACAAACAAAAATCCCATCTTCTTTATGTGTTTCCTGACATTAAAAATATACCAAAAAGATCAAGTAATGTCACATAAAGAGTTTCAGATGTTTGATTTGGGCCCAATCAAACTACTGTGGTCCTTCGCAATACGTTGCCATGCATTGACGTGGGTTGAGTTAAGGCAATCCATTCTTGGCCCTTTTTTAAACAAAAAAGCACACCAAGATGTAAGGTATGTGGGTGTACTGCAGTGCATTGTACCCTACTGTACAGTTTGTTGGAGTACCATTCACTATGAATAGCACCCCAAAACACTGCACGTAGAGCCATGAATGGTGTCTTTCTGGAAGTGGAATGGGTCCTTTCTGCATCTGGCCTAACACAAAATGAGATGCCCTACCTAAGTGGCATTGGAAGGAGCACAGCTCTTATATATTACTATATGGACAAACGATCGAGGAAACCTGACAACTGCATCCATAATAGCTTGGACATCCTGTTCCAAAATCAGAACTAATATGAAGCGGATCCCATCATCCCAGGGGGCTAACAGCTTCCACTCCAATGAAAGCTTTCCACAAGGCTTTATTTATTTATTTAATTATTACAGATACCTACATACAGGGCCAATTCTTCCACTAGGCAAACTGCCCTCTTAGGGCACTCTGCCACCTCGGGGTTTCTGGGTGCAGCACAGGCCAGAACTCTCTCTGTGTGGGATGCTGCCACATCATGAATGATCCTTCAGCTGAGAGAAGGGGCGGCAGAGGGGAGGAAGAAAGGACAGAGGAAGATGCTGGGTGTCTGGGGCCAGTGTAACAGCTGAGCTGCCACTCCTTCCAGTGTTCCTCTCAGACTCAGTCCCTTTCTGCAAGTTGACTGTCGGCTGCTGATCACTGTGCAGTTCCAGCCCTTCTCTTCCCATTCTTCAGCGGAGGCAGAGCTGCGCCTGTGGAGGAAGGTGATGTCTGACTCCGATGTCTCATGTCTGTGACCCAGCTGACCATCCATCACATGTGCAATGTGTCAGTGAGTGATGACATCATCATGATCCCACAGCCTGCTCTCCTTCTGCCTGCTGATCTGTGTCAGTGTTGGTGGTGGTGTGTTGTGTCAGATCTGTCACTGTGTGGAATCGCTCAGTTCAGATGTTCTGTCTTTGTGTGTGGGCTGTGCTGCCTGCTGTCACAGCTTTTTATCTCCCCCCATTGCCTGACGAATTCCAACCTGGGATCTGTCAGAGTGTGGATCCATCATCCACCACTTACTACAACTGTCACCTTGCTGCTGCCAGCCACAGATATAGTCTGTCTGTGACATTGATTTTGTCTTTAATATTGGTGCTGGTGGCATCTTTTGGCATTTATTTTTGCAAATTGAAAGAAATGTTGGAGTTTCATGTTTTGTTGTTGATTTAATACTTTCTACTGTTTTAAAAAATGTTCTTAGCTGGTCTTTCCTAGGGTGAAAAATAGTCTAGCACCGGCCATGCTTTACATAGCGCCATCAATTTAGGCAGCACTTTACATATATTGTACATTCACATCAGTCCCTGTCCTCAAGGAGCTTACAACCTAAGGACTCTAACTCACATTCATACATACACATACTAGGGCCAATTTAAACAGGAGCCAATTACCCCACCAGCATGTTTATGGAGTTTCGGAGGAAACACATGCAGGCACATTTGTAGGGTATCTGTAGGAATCTGTGCATATTTAGAAAAAAGAGCATTTGTAAGGTCAGAAACTGAAGTTGGATGAGAAGACCTGGTTTGCAGTTTTTGTTTCAATTCATCCCAAAGGTGTGGAGTAGGGTTGAGGTCAGGGACCTTTACAGACCATTCAAGTTTCTTCAAACCAAACCTGCTAAACAATAGTTATAGAATCTGACCACAGATGCATCCTACACAAGTTTATATCTCACCACTTCTCTTTTCAATGACTTATAGTAGGGGGTTGGTGTCTCCCCCATCAAGAGGCTACACATGGCAAAAAAGGAAAAAAAAAGTTAATTCAGCTTAGTGATTCCAGTGTTTTCGGGTTTTTGGGTGGATTTCCATATTGTATGAGACGTAAAGCAATGGCAGATTGCCAGTTGAAGTCTCAGTAAAGTGTCAGTGACAAGTGGACTCTCATCTTAACAAAGGATGGGCCCCACAGACCAAATGCCACTTTGATGCACAGTGATTAAAGGAGACTATGGCCACATAAAACACTGAGTACAGGAGGACCTGTCACAAAGACAAATAACAGAACATTGTCTGATGTGTGTATTCCTCAGGTGGTTGGAAATATACAGTGATGGAAAAAATCCTATCTGTGCAGGTGTCACAATGATGGATCCTTCCGCTCTGTGATGAGAGTAAATTAAATAACTTCCTGCTAGGAGTAGATGATAGCAGACATTACAAGCTAATATATCATCTTTTATATGCCGTGACAGATCTGATGTTGAATTAGTGGTCATATTTCAATTCAACAGCTAACCACACAGGCTATCCCTATAGCAGAGAGAGCTGTCTAAAATCTAACTACTCTTGAGCTGATCCATTTATATATTTCCAGCTGGCAAACTACCCACAATGGCAGAGAATTATATATATATATATATATATATATATATATATATATATATATATACACATTCACACAATATATGTCACTCAGAGTAAGAAAATGTTCTTTTTACAGTCAGAATCAGATATACAATCTACAATGCATAAAAAGCTCTTAGATATAATTTATAAATGCATTGTGAGTGCACCCAGATTCTATACGTAATGTAATTGACCCTGTGTACCAGGATGATTGACTCTTGAGCATGAGGAGGAGCTGCATCATCCCATACTGGGCAACCAAAGCAGCCGAAGACCAGCGCCTGGGAGAAGCTAGGGAGAAGATGCCAGTGAAGGACCCCTTGCACACATTAGTTCAGTTTTAATGTACAGTATATAAAGCATACCTTCCTACTTTCTGAGATGGAAAATAGGGACACAATGTAACACAAATTATATAGGCGAAGGCCACACCCCATGTCATGTGCCCAATTACAGGGACCATGAAGAATTAATATGCATGAAATGATTGGGTAGCAGATTTCACCACTACATTTCCTTTATAATGGCTTTTCATAATAACATCTGCAATAATTTAGCCATTGGGTGAAAGGTTTATTTGTTTACTTTTGATAAATAGTACATTTTTATAGAGATCTATACATCAGGCCAAAATGAGGGGCTACTAAGAAGGAAAGAGGGACAGAGGAACTTGATCTCAAAAGAAGGACTGTCTCTCCTACTGAGGAACAGTTGGGAGCCATATGAAAAACAGTGGTTAAATTGTCACTGTTATATAAATACATGTAAAAAATAAATGAATCCCAACAGTGTTTAATAGAGTTAGATAGAGGTCAGGACTCTGTGTAGGCCACTCAAGTTCTTCCATTCCAAACTCATCAAACCATGTGTTTATCGACCTTGCTTTGTGCAAAGGGGGCAAGGTCATGGTCATAGGGGCTTTCCCTAAACTGGTGACATAGAGTTGAAAGTGTACAATTGCTTTCAACTGCCCCACACCACCAATTGTTTTTATACTTCTTCAAGGTTGAATGATGTAATCTTAAGATATTTCCACTCACAAATGTTCAGTCTTGGAAGTGCAATATCACAATAGAAGAGTATCATAAGCAATTCTAAAACTGTCATAATTCCAGCCAAAATTTTCTCTATATAAAGATTTTTCAACTGAAATTTCTAACAATGGCTTCCCCCTTTACCAGTTATGTAATAGAAAGAGTAACGTCCACATTATTATCACCCTTAGGTACATAATGGTGAATAAATTAGTGTGCAAAATGAGACAATGTGATAACTTTTAATTGCTAAGCAAAAACATTTACATGGCAAGCAAAACTAAACCATAATCAGACCAAGGTATAATATTTTTTGTTACCTGTGAAGAAGGTATCAGTTGATCAGTACATTTGCATTTACGCAGTTTTCCTTAGCCAATTGTTCCTGATCAATGTATTCATCCTACATGAAAAGTTATCCAAGCCTAGCCCCTTGTTTGCATTGGCCCTGTACTGTTATAGGTGAACTGATACTGTCCCAGCCAACACAACTACATATACTGTAAATGATATACATAGCATTGGACATTAAATGATTACTATGATCAAACAGAATTTGGACACTACATAGGTATCATCCATTTTATGTTTCTATATTCAGTTTCAGAACCTGTAAAGAGTAGCCAGTTTACCATGTCAGATAATCCACCATTTGGACACCTGAGGAGGCTGTCTAAACACCTGACCAGTAGCCTGGATAAACCTTTTGACAATGAAAGGAAATGACATTACTTGAACCATGTGCACATTATGCTGCCAGGTAAGTACAACAAAATGTCTTTTGACATAGATGAGAAATGAGCAAAGAAAGAAAATCTCTCAATCACCTTTGCTGTCACTGTCACTCTCGGTGACACTGGGCACAGGGCTGATTAGAGGGGTGGTTCTGTCTCCATCTTGCGCTCCTTCTTTCTGTCGAGTCTTTGCATTCTCGATTCCCTTCACTCTCACATGTCTCCGAGCATGTCGGTTCCCTTTATAATGAGCCTCAGCCTGACTCTGTAAAGAAACAAGACAAGCAGTTACTAAACAGAATTTCCCATACTGTCAAAATAGATCTCACTTATCAAAATCTGAAGAAAAAAAAAAAAAGAACTGTCTATAGCAGCCAATCACGTTCAAACTTTAATTTACCAAATGTCATTTTGCATTGTATTTTGGAATCTGGATGCTAAGTAGCAACACAGGCCATTGTTGTTTGAGATGCATTGTTTTCTGGCTTTCAATACAGCTCTAGAGTATGAGAATGAGCCTCCATCACTGTGTTATACACACCTATTAATCATCAGATACCAAGTGCACAGTTACATTATTCCCAATGTAAAATGATGTGTGGCTCTTCCTATGACAGGGGCATTTGGTGACAGAAGAAGGGTTGATTGGGAAGCTTTATCGTTTCAACATTAAACTATTTATGTACCAGTCAAGACTCCCCAGTCTGCTGCTGGAGAACCGAATGCTGGATAATTGAAGGTTAGTCATGTTTTTGTGACATTTAAGGGCTTGTTCACACCAGCTGCTGCATCGCAATGCAGAGGCCAGTGTGTGGAGCGGTGGGGCCAGGATCAGCACAGTGATGATGCACTGAGCTCGGAGTATTGCACAGTTTCCTTTTTTTTAACAAACTTGTCACAAAGACATCTCAAAAAGTTCAACTGCCTGCATGCAGTACTTTTTTTCAGCGCATCATGCCCACACACCACCATACCTTAGTAGCACGGGCGGACTGAACATTCGAGAACTCAGGCACTGCCCAAGGGCCCGGGGTCAGTAGGGGGCCCCATGAAATGCCCCTGGTACCTTTTCGTAGGCTTTTTTTGAGTGTGGGCAAAGACACAGGGGCCCCATGATCCCCTATTGCCCGGGGGCCCCATGAGTTGTCAGTCCACCCCTGCTTAGTAGTGTGAACAATGCACATAGTAGACAAGACATTTTGCCTTGTCCATGTGGTGGGAGTAGCTGCCCACTGCAGTCACACTGAATGTGGTATGAACATACCCTTAATACACTTCTACCAAACATCTACACATCCAGAGGTTCTCGGCAACACACTCAGCTTAGCTATTCACTCTGATGCCCCTATTCTTGTCAGTTCAACCAATAAACTGAAGACAATCCAAGTAAATGTCACCATCAACTAGGTGACAATCTATCTGTGCAGAGACGGATGTTTACCATCAGATCAGCATCTAACAGCGCTCTCATTGATAGCCAACCCGCACCTTTACTAATATAACAGGAAAAGGATAGCATTCATGAAAAACATTATGCTTTATACACTTTGCCAGTCCATTTAAGAAAAGTCTAAGAAAAGTTCCAAGGCTTTCCCATATGGAAGAAAAAAAATATATTCTTCCCAAATATATTGACATATATTTCAAATGCTACAATTTTGTTCATATTCAATATATTTCAAAACATATTTCAATAAATAAATATATATATATATATATATATATATATATATATATATATATACACTGCATGTTGAAATACAAAATATATGAAAAAATATTTAGAAAAATACAGTTCAAATATACTGTAGGTCTTTAAAAATACAAATCTAAATTTTTGGAATGCATTTACAAATATATGTAAATATATATGTTATTAATATTTTTTTCCTGTCTCCCCACTCTTCGAATTATTGTGTCCTTAGCACTGTTGATATTAGTGCAACACCATTTTATTTTTGTCTCCTAGTGCTAGTGGTGTCTAGGTTTAGGTGTTTGCAGCTTTTTTTCAATGCTATTATATATGTTAAAATGACTTGTTTCTATGTTAAAAAAAAAATCTGAAGAATATATTAAAAAAAAAGTTTTTTTAAATATTTTTCATATATTTTGTAATATATAAAAAATGCATTTCAACATGCAGTATATATATTGAAATATATTGAATATAGCCAAAATTGTAACATTTCAAACATATGTCAATATATTTGGGAAGAATATTTTTAAAATATATTTAAAATATATTTTTCTTCCATGTGGGTTATTTTACCACTTAAAAACAGATCATATTGTATACCTTGACACCAGTATGCTGTGTATTTAGGAGATAAAAAAAAGCCATGGACTTTTTTCACTTTTGAGATTACCCACATGTGCGTGTGCATGGAGCACGTGGATCCTGCACCCCACTCAAATTGGTTAAGGGAGTGGATGAAGGTAAACTGGTGATTTTCTTATGTTTATGAACACTGAAATACTTTATACTGTAGGTATGTGTAGGCAACTCTAGATGCCTGCACTTTATACCTGTCAGCAGTTGTATTTCTTGTCAAAGTTCCAGAGTTATTTAAAACAGAATTCAGATCACCAGACAAAAGACATAGGTCAGCAAAGAAGCCACAGGCAAGAAACCATGATCTATAAAAAAAGAATTGTAAAGCTAAATAGACGAAAATAAGGTCACATGATCACACTGTCCTTTCTGTTCCATAAAATGTAGCCTAGGAGGCAATAAGAGCTAGTTGGTAGCATATGATGTAGTTACAAAGCACTGGAAGATTTGCTGATTCCACTGGAGGGTTCTATCTCAGTCTGAACCGCGGTAGCAGCAGAAGTAGTAGAATTACCCTCATTTATTATTGTTAAGCCATGGCTAAAGAATGCTAACACTGTAACCCAGAGCAAAAATGAGATCTAGTGCCTGATGTTTAGGAATACTAGCTGCAAGGCGATACTATAAAAGTTAAGGTATATTGATTAGGGATAAGGAATTCTACAAAAAAATTGCCTTTACTTCTAGAATATTAATGACCTTGAGAAACAGTGTTAGCTGACAATCCTTTGGCAGTGTATGCTGTATGTGAAATGTTACAGGAGCACACCTATCATTGAGCCTGGGTTCACACTTGTGCGGTGTGACATATCGTATGTGATTCGCACAGGAACCGCACTGCATTCCTGTGCAAATCACATGTGAGTTCTGTGCGATGTGATTTGAGCCATATATTTTGTATGGCTCAAATTGCACCATATCTGCACCAAAAAGGTGCAGGACCCTTTTTTTGGTCCGCACTAGAATCGGAGCGCATGGGTATTCACACCTATGCAATCCGATTCTGCACGTCACACCACGTTTTGCAGACCGATTTCGGGGTGTTGTTAACATACACACCCGTAGTGGTTCCCATGAATGGGGTGCGATTGTGATGTGGTGCGGAATTTGCACAGAAACCACTGCAAATTCTGCACCACATCAGTGTGAACCCAGACTAAGGCTACTTGTGTTTATGTGTAAAAAAAAAAAGCGCCTGAAAATCTCAAGAAAAACACTTCCTTATGTCTGTGAATGTATATCTATGTATGTTTTCACACTCAGGTGTTGTGCTTGCGGTGTGGTGTAAAAACTCCTGCTTGCAGCATCTTTGGGGCATGTTAAAAAAAAAAAACGCTCCAAAAACGCATTTTCCCATTGAAATCAATGGAAAAACGCATGAAAAAAGCCTGAAAAGCGCCTGAAAAAAAAAAACACCTCTGGGAAGCGTTTTTAGTGCAGTTTTAGGTCACCAGTCCTTTAAAAACACTCAGAAAGCGCAGCAAAAGCACAGTAATAATGCCTATGCATTCTTGCTTTGTTTTTGCAGCAGATCAGTATGAAAGTAGCCTTTAAAGTCATGTTTCTCGAGAATCAGAAGGACCCTTATTAGCAGTACACAGTCACTTTTTTATTGTGTGTAAAAAAGGTCCACTTGATATAAAAAATCAGCTGCTTCCTTTATGTGACCTACAACTTAGGCACAAATCACATGATTTACAGCTACTTGGACCTACTAGGTGTTTCACATCATTAGAGTGCACAGAAACTCTCTTACCAATCAGACAGACCTTGTCTTGGGGCCTTACAGTAATAGAAAAGAATACACACGGAACAAATATATACTGTAGTTAAAAAAGCAATACACAGAAAAATATAAGCTTAAAGGGCTATAATTGGTTTTAAAACTGAGCTTCACTCATCACTATAAAATAAAAGCAACTAAAAGTACTGGACCTAGCTCTGGACCTGGGGGAAGAATAATGTAGTGGGAGCACATATGTGCTAAAAAAGGTACAGTGCAAGGCAAGGATCACCATTATGAGCAGAACAGTGGCTAAATGGTTAGCACTTCCACCTGGCAGCACTAGAGTCATTGGTTCGGCACCACCTGCCTGGAGTTTGCATGTTTTCCCTGTGCCTGTGTGGGTTTCCTCCCACATTCCAAAGACATGCTGATAGGTTAATTGGATCCTGTCTAAATTGGCCCTAGTATGTGTATGTATGAATGTAAGTTAGGGACCTCAGATTGTACACTCCTTGAGGGTTAGGGACTGATGTGAATGTACAACATATATGTAAAGTGTTGTGTGAATTGACAGCGCTATATAAGTACCTGTAATAATAATAACTATTGTTCACCTCAGCTTTTGCTGTGGCTTCCTTGCACCAAGTTTCTAGCACTGCTATGGGTAAGGTATTGTGCTATAGGGTACTCATGGAGTAGAGTGCAGAAATGGGGTAAGTGTGACTAAGAAGGAGTACAGAACAACCCAGGTGTAGCAAAGTCCTCATGGCAATAGAAAATAATAAAGTGGTTGTAAACCCTTACATACACCCAGTGAAGTGACTAGCCTCAGGTGATACACAGAGATTGAACAAATCCCTCTACATAAGTTGCACCAGTTTATCTGTAGCACTGTCTTCTCTACAGACTCATAAAGCAAACATTATACATAGCATTTCTGAGTTGCAGAAGGTAAGGGTAGGGAATCTGATGTCACACACAGTACAGCATAGAACAGGGAGCTGAGTGTAATCTGAGACCTGAGTGGAGGGAATAGGCACATCACAACCCTCTACACAAGGGATCAAGGCAAGTACACACTATAGTGGGATGTGCTTTGTTCATTTTTCATTTAAGTCCTCAAGCACACTGGACATTTTTACAGCTGCAGTTTTTGGCTTTTGACGTCTTTTTCTACAGCCAGTAAACTCCCCAGCATGGTATCCTATGTGTC